GGCCGCCCGACGACGCGACTCCTCGACCCGTTGACCGCGCGCCGCCAGTACCGCTTAGTACCGCAGTCGCCGTTCTCATCATCAGTCCGACCGGGTCAGTCCAACGCACTCGACCGCCGCCGACCAGACGGAAACACCGGAACCAACAGCAACTGGTACGCGACGCGCGACCGAGGAACATGGCCAAAGCCAAAGGTAAGCCCTGCGCACTCGTCCTCCGGGAGGCGAGGCGCTTCGGTTAATTTCATTTCCTTCCGTTTCCACTCGAACCTCCCGCGTTAACGGAAACATCCTGCGGGTCGAGCTATTTTCCGCGGTCCTAGGCGCACCGGAACTCGTTGGCAAAACCAGAACAAACCGTTGCCCCGACACCGCCGTCGGACGGGGTGCAACGCGAACGGCCGAGCGCGCCGATGTTTCCACGCGGGCAACGCGTTCCGTTTACGTTTCGTCACGACTAACGGTTACGGGGGCGAAAAAAATTCATTCCTCGAGGTCGATAATGTCCTCCGGGTAATGCGTGTGTCCGTTCATATCTGATGGTCCGGAGCGGTCTATCGACTACCGGCGACGAACACGCGCGCAACTTTTCCGATTCACATTTGTAAAACCATCGTTTTTGTCGGCATTCTATCGCGTTCCATAGCGATCGCGAAATGTCTGCCGATCGTCTGCAAATACGGTGTTTGGATTCATTTTTTACCTGTACTCGTCCATCGAGTTACCGCTGCCGCGGGTGTCCGTGGTCAAGTTCGAATACCCGTGTACGGGGACGTTGGTAATAAATTGTCACTGATAATGTTACGATTGCCGGTGTATTATCGGTGTACGATTTCGATAGTTGGAAATCGTTTTTTTCCGTTGAAAACGAGATAATGCCGTGGTGACGCATAAATATGAAATTTTAGTCATGCATATGCACGCACGGTATTCGAAACGTCACGTTCGATGATAATAACGATGATATACCCACCTAGGCCGGTAATGATTCGAATACAATATTTATAAAATTACTTAATAATAGCAATAATTATAATATAATTAATAACAAGTACATAATGATCTAGTCGGTACGCACCTAACGCATTTTTACGTGTTTTTTTTATTTCATTTTAATCGTCCGGGACTAACGAGTTGCAAGATTCGTTTTTAAACGATAACATGTTTAAAAATAAATCGCAATTATAAGTAAACGTTTCTACAAAACTGTTGTTTTAGTGTGTCATTGACTTGTAGACTCGTCTATTTCGGTAAAATATAATAATCCTGTTACGGTTGTGAATCAACATGTGCCATGTGACTCGTTAACATTCGACCAATCGTTGGTCAATGTTTTCTAAAATTATTCTATATATAATACATTCGTATTCATAATTATGATGCGTTACTATAACCACGAAAAAAACTTTTACGAGGTGATTTTTTAGATTTGATAAGTTGTGGGTTTTTTTAAAAAAAAAAAAATGTTGTTTTATTCGAAACACTTTCTCTTAGAACAGTCTAATATTTATACCGGCTGGTAATGGTTTTATATTAAACTCGTTACAACACTGCACCGAACACATTTTTGTAGAAACAAAAAAGAAAACAACAACAAAGTATTATGTTGTCGAAACGTGCAGCCGTTGTACCGAGCGTACACGCGAATAAGGTCAGGTATCTTAAGCATTCGTGATTTTTGTTTTTGTTTCATAGTCATCGACCCAGACCTTGGAAGGTCGTACAATGTGATATAGCTGACTGTCGTTTAATTATTAATGTATGTTACACTGCAGTGCTGTATACGATGTGATATACACCGGGTTTCGTGATGCTAAACGATAACCAATCTCTGATCGTTTCGGTTAAACAATGTATCATGTATATGGTGTGTAATACCATTATTTTACCATATTTTTTAGTACATCCCGTCGACAACAGATCTGACCGTCATGTGTAAAACGCGTGTTAAACATTCATACGAGTACGCTTGAAAATAGTTTTAACGAACAATCATTATTCATATCCGAATAGCTTTTCGAATAAATAAATTTGAATATATTTTTCCGTTTACACGATGATTGTTCAACACATAGCAATTTTTGTCATTTTTATCACTTAAAAAAGCTTGTGATTGACTAATCGTTATTACTAATCGCAGTGTCTTTTTTGTATACCGTGGATATTTTTCCCCAACACATTCGTGACTAATTGCGCACATTATACGAAATTATGAAATCTAATTGCACACGTATATCAAACGATTTCTCGCGTTCGGACAACGATAATTGAAGAAATGTCATTCGTAATCGCGCCGAGTCATTTTTATCACGCACCATCCAACAGCTACCTAGTTATTATATTACCATCAAATTGATAATTGACGCGCATGACGGTATGACAAGAAAGGTTATACGCTTTGATAGATTTGAAAAGAAGATGTTCGAAACGAGTAGAACTCTTCGATTATCTATACGCAGTGACTAATTAGTGACTAAACACAATCATCGAATGTTATTTGAACGTAGTTAAAAGAGTTGGTCAAGAGAAAACATGTTGCTCGAACTTCGATTTCAATTTCCGATTTCTGCAAACGTCGCTGCACGGATTTCGTGAAAGACGGTTGGGTTATGTAAATTAGATGTGTCGTCGGCTCGGTATTTCTATTGTCGATATGGTGTCAACTATAACACGTTTTACGTATACTAAACTCGAAACGCTATCCGCGTAGAAATAGCTGCCATTATTATATTTCACTATGTATGAATGGCGTCCGATGTGTACATATTAATTATATTACAAATTACGTTCGGTTAATATAAATTATGAAAACGCGAGGACGGACCGAGGAACGAGTACTGAGAACTAATTTTTTGAAATTGTCTGTTTGGTATTGTTGACGTGTGTGGCTTATCCGGCATTGTGGCGAAACAGGTAGAGAGATCCCTTTCCAACTCGTCGCTTTGTAGTAAATTATATACATTAGTTTTCGATTACATCTGTACATGTTTCCTGTACTGGTAGTAAATAAGAAATACAAATCGTCGGTCTGCAAGGTTAAATGTAAATAGTTAAATACCATTATTATTTTCTAAACATATTTATTTTCACATAAGTAGTTTTACTACACGGATCTCATGTGAATCGAATAAAAATACATTATTATCACTATAAATGTTGGTAAATATTAAATCAAAAGCAAAATAATATTTCGTTTTATTAAATAAAATAATAAAAAAAATCGTTGATTAATCGTTGTTCCTTATGTATCCTTAATCCTTAATTTAATTGTAATATGCATAGGTATATACGATTGTGTAAAATAATGCGTATTCTTCATTAGTTATTTAAAATAAAAAATTTTAAATGTTCTATTAAAACTTAAAAACCCAATAAAAATATAGATAGATGATAAAAAAGCTATAATGCATGTTAATTAAACCAAAAAAACTATAATAATTATAAGTAACTGTAGATAACGATAAAAGAAAAACCCTAATAACTGGCAGGATTTCATTGAAATCAAAATATGTTTAACAACGTAACTTTTCGGTAAACTATTGTATTCTGCATAACTAAATGTATGTACAACTTGTTGGTTATAAATAATTTGTGAAAGCAAACGGTTTTTTATTCTTCTAAATGCTGAACCACTATTTAGCTTAAAAAATAACCAATGTACCTCAACTCACTTACATCGTGTTTTTTTTTTCATATCCATACCACTCAAGGTGCAAATGATCATAAAGTCAGACGCCTGATTATACGATTTATTTTTCTACTTTTAAATTAAGTTACATAAAAGTTGTTTATTGGTATTTTGTTACGTTACGACTGGTTTGTACTTGTTTTACGAAATGAAAAACCTAAAAAAAACTAATTTATTGACATCATTCTCAATATGCCTAATTATTTTTCTCAATGAGTCCACGAAATAAAGTAAACGCATGTATTAAGAAAATTAAAAACGTTCTATCTCCACACGGAGTCAAAGTTAATAATAAAATTCTACTTTCACGGTGAATACTTTTCAGGTATAAAAAAAAAGTTAAAAACATTGTACTAATTAATAGAAAACTTCTTATTTTGAACATAATACTTTCGAGTGATACCTGTCGTGTCTTAATTTATGTTTTTAATATGCTTCCTGACTTTCCGTGATTGTATGTATTATTGTGTATAGAACAGTCACGTCCCATGATCGAGTCAAGTATTTAACTATGTTTTTCTTTGTTATGTTTAATTTTATGTTATGTTTGAATTTGAATTTTTTTATATTTATAGTGCGTAATATTATATAACAATATTTATTTTAACTACACACATACACAAGTAACACGTTAAATACATTGTAAATCACTTGTATTTTCCAATGACCATGATTTAAATAATTTTTGAAACAATACGATAAAACGTAATAGTCATAAGTCATTACTTAACTAATTTTTGTGTATTAATTTAATTATTGGTATATTTATTGTATGTATGGTAATTAAATATCAAAGAATCACCGGCACTTATGAGTCTATTTTTGTTATATTTAATACATGCATACAAATTTAGCCGTATAATATATAATATCTGACCAATTATTAAGTTACACATTAATTTTTATCTTCAAACATTAAGTTTTAATTTACGAATATCTTGTTTACGACGGGTCTCGTTGAGTGTTGAGTAAAGATTTTAATTAAAACATTCAATAATTGCGTAATTAAGCAACGTAAAATTTCCATGACTATTTAGTTATATTATTATGCAACTGTCAATCAATATTTGTCAGTTATAATCACACAAAATACTTATAAATACTTTGCTGTTATTACAGTTCTGATTGATTTCCTAGTAAAACAACCGTGATGTTAGGTATGATATGGTGAATTTGTATTTTGATGTCTTGCTCATAATCGTATTTTATGTTATAATTATCATTCATATTATAGCGAACCCGATAAGAAAAACCGTATATGTGTTGTTATAACGTGTTATAAGTTGTGATATCGAATAAGTAGGAAAAGATATCATACATATTGCGTTATTACACTTAACTCAACATTACATCATTGATTTTAGAATAGTATACAGGTTCGCAGTCCTAGTTTTAAAATTAGTAGCAGCTAAGTGGACGCAGCCACTAGACGTCGTTGTACGTTTGCATTCAACTTATTAAAAGCATGTTTTTAAAAATAAAAGTTTTATTTCATATTAACTACTGAAGTGTGAGGGTTATATCACTAAATGGTCTCCCAGTCATTTTCTTGTTATTCATCTATTTCATTTTACCACATTTAGTTAATTTGAATGTAGCACAGATTTTGTATATTTTTTTAATAGAGGAAAAAAACCTTACGACCGAAGTGGACAATGCCCGACACTTTGCCCGTAACGTAAGCAATGTCCCCCTCCCTAAATTTCATGAAAAAAAAACGAAAAAAATTTTTTAAAATTATATGTCAAGCAATGATAAAAATTATATTTTTTCTATAGCAACTATGTATAGACTTGTTTTCAAAAACCAAAAGAAAATTAGATTTTGTTCTATAATTTTTATTATTTTTTTTATTGTTCTCAAATAAAAAAATTTCTTTTCAATGTACCTACCGATTTTTTAACTTTTAATTGAAAGTTTATTCCTTTACAATGTTAAGAAATATTTATGGTAAATGGTAATACTTATAATATTATAGAATTATTGAATTTTATATATTATATTATGTCCACAATATAAAATGCTCCCCCCTAATAATTACTCTAGATCCGCGCCTGTCCGAGGCCATCTAGAACATTACACAATTATGATTATGATGAGCATTTTTCATTAACATTTACATTATTCATAACTTGAGTTTATATCGCTCGTCCATAAGGTTCCGTCAGAATTCGGTTTTCGTGCATACTTAAGCCACAAACATGCTATTATAATATCTGATAATATGAAAGTCGGTCTCACGCGGATAGACGGTCGTATTAAACACGTCGTTCTGGATATTGCAGCGAAATCGAACTCGCCTTTGCATTTGTAGTGTAGCCAAAGCTGATAAAGTAATTAGACGACGACCATCCGCGTTCTTTCCGTTTTTTCGATTCGTCGCAACGGACGAAGAATATAATCTCAATTTCGGTGACCACGAGAATCATATATCGATGACTGATTCCATCCCGTTCAAATGATTAAGGATCGTAGGTGATTTGATGACTCTGTCTCGCATCGTATTCTGTTCGTATACCCATGCATAATACGATTATTATAAAAACATTTGTAAAAAAAAATGTAAATAATTATTTTTAAATTTCCATACAATCTCAAAAGTGACCAACCTAAGTGTCCTATAAGTAAATATACCAAGTCTACAAATGATCTTTTTTTTTTGAGTATTAAAATTTATTATTTCTAGTAAGTGCAAGAAATAATCACTTTCGAAAATGTTGTTATGTTTTACCGTCGAAAACTTGTTAACAAAAATTATTCTAATCTAATTTAATATATAATAGGTCCAATATAAATTATTCGTATATAAATTATAATGTAATGAGAAGAAAAAGGTTTTCTTGCATAAACAACACTGCGCAAACAAAAACAGTGAATTCTAATAATCCATTATAATATCACACAGTGTAATGTTAAACAGTGAACTTTATACACCTTTGTAACGAAAAAAAATCGTTGCACTAACAATAATACGGTGTTTTCCTTATGCAGATTATACATTTATACCTACAAAATGGATGCTTCACGACGAGGATTTATCTAATTGCTATATCACGCATGGCAGTATCTCAAATACTGGTGGACGTGATTTGTAAAATTAGTACAGCCCATTAAGTGCACGCAATCGTATAATAAAAAATAGTCTGTATATCATTCGTAACAGATGAACTTTTTGCGAAATTTGCAAATCGATAACTCGTGTGAATTGACGCGTCTGATACTGCAGCAGTATCGAAAACAGACGAATTGGACCAAGAATGCGAACGAAGCCGTAGCCGGGGGGGGATGGGTTTAAGGTTCAGACCTCTCCACGAAACCGTTTTTTATAATAAAATTGAATGAGTTTAAATGCCTATTACATTTGAAATTTTAAAATTTGCTAGTCAAAAACTAGACAAAACTAACTTATGCTCTAAACTTCTCTCCCTCACTCCCAAAATATTTTGCTAACTATGACATTGGATGCGACAATTAATAGCGTGTGCAAAACAGTGCTCAACTTGAGGGGGTATTATTACTATTATTATGTTATTATTATAACGCTTAACAAGTTTCGGGGACGCTCTATTTTTTAAAGTAAATAGAGTCCCCCTTCTTTAATTTTTCCAAGTCTAGCATTGGTGCGAAATAGACCCTGCCGAAGACTTACTACAGTAAATAAATTTTCAGTGCGCTCTGCTCGAGTTGACGTGTCCGAACGGTCATTTGTGATGTTTAATGAGCGATCCAGTGCGTGATTTTTTTTTTTTCGTTTTTGATTCCCGTTATACGAATGATTTTATCGATTTTTCTTGTCCGCGACGTGCGTTCACAAATTCCTATTATACAACAAACCATTTAAATATCGAGGCGGGTCACTCTACTACTCCTATATCGTCTCGTTTTCGAAAATTCAACACCGCGTGATTCACAACGACGGGGTTTCGGATTACATGTTTTCCTCTCCTGTTTCAATGCGCACCACATAAACATTCATCGTGTATATGTAATCTTGCACGTGGAAAATGTTCGAACCGTTCGATCACTTTACCCGACCTCTATTTGTTGACATTATAATATAATTATAATATTAAAAAAATAAAAAAATATAATATAAATAAATAATAAATAAATAATATAATAATAATAATAATAAATATATGTATTAATATATTAATTATTATTATATTATAATATGTATGTTGTTCTATCGCCAACGACGACTGTACACACACACGCGCGCGCGTGCGCATATAACACATAAACATAAACATAAGCACTACGAAGAGCAAAAATCACGAAAAAGAGAAAAAAAACAAACGACCGGCTTACTTAAATTTGTAGGTTGATTAGCAGCTAAGCGTATACATAATATTCGACGGTCTTTCGTCATTGCCGTTTGCCTTGAACGTACAAGGATTGCCTAGATACGTCTCGGCTGCAGTGGTGTAGTTCCCGTAGAGGAGGAAGTAGGTGTCTTCTTAACCTTTTTTTTTTTAGTATTAAGGTGTCTCTATGTTCGGATTTCAACCGCTGTTCCAGCGCGTATAAAGTAGTTCCTACCGAGATTCCGTATCCTCTTGAACATATATTACGGTATGCGCAAACCGGTGTGTACCACTGAGGTCAACGTACGTTAGGATCATTCCGAACGCTAGTTGGACTAGTTATTGCGGAGCATACGACTGTGTGGAATGCAAAAATTCATCTGAAATAATTTGATCTACACTTTCTCCACTGGCAAGGATCCCTTCGATGTCAAAACCTATAGCATAGGACTATTGATGAAGACTTGTATGCTCTTGCTTTCAACTTAATATTAAACTGTAAATAAAACAACCATAATATCCGTCACCGGTATTCTTTATTTTAGTCAAAATACCATTTAACACTTAAACATACACACGAGTACCAAACACTCGGCACGTAATAGTATAATTAATGCTGTTATCAACCGAAAACGTTTCGGGTTATATATGAGCGACACGCGCGCGCGCTGCATTAAGAACAGAAAGTGTTGAAAATAAAGCAGTTGTATAGTATTATTTTGATATTGTTCGATAACCCTGAATTCAACTCATGTGACATTTTGATTTCATTAATCGGTAAATGCGTGAGTCCATGAGTCTAAACAAACAATGCAACCGATTCTAATTGATTAAAAGTACAACATGTATAATGTATATACATTTTCTTGTAAAAATACTTAAAAATATTAAAAATCGCGCCATTAAAGTCAAAACCGTAAACTAAATACCTATCATATGTATGATCTATGTGTACATTTTGCGTTGTATAATCGCCGTTTTTTTTACCAATATTAATATATAATACAATATGCAGGAGCTTCGAATGTGATCCGAGTCCTATTCAATCTTGGGACGTGCGCGATATAAATATATGCACGTATATAAATAATTATTCCGTCTGGGAGTAAACCATTCGTTTTTTCTTTTTAAATACTTGCATACTTCATTAAACGGTTACGAATCCACATGACCGTAATTGTTTCCGTTCGCACTAGTAACTTTTGAACCCGCTATGACTCATGTCTAACCTGTACGACTATACGTAGCATATGCACGCCGGGACATTGTACAAAATTATAAATTCATGTCTGAATCAAAGACTCAAAGCAATGTGAAGATAATATGATTCGTTGATATGCAATTTGATTCACACGTATTCAAAGAATTGGGGAATTATTATTAATATCCCGTTGGACCGGATTGTGGACATAGTCTATTAGAGAGAAAGAAAGAGAGAGAAAGAGAGAGAGAGAGAGAGAGAGAGAGTGAGAAAGAGAGAAAGAGACAATTATCATTGAATTGCTTCAGCTATAAAACGTAACCCGAGTATAATGTTAAAAGTTTAGCGTTTAACCACCACCACCACCACTAGTCCCAAATGACATTGCAGTATTGTACGATTCACTGAACCACTAAAATATAAGGGGGTTTTAAATTTTTAACAGACCGACTCTCGGTAAACGGTAGGTAATATCAAGACCATAAATTGATGACAATTTATGAATACCAAAGTATGTAGAGTTTTTAATGTGTAATATTATACGAGTATACTGGGTTTTGGTGTATGGTATATAACCTATTCTTAAACCATTAATTGGAAAATGTTAAACCCACTTATTGTATAATCGAAGTCATATAAATTTTAATTATTATTGTTCCGCAGGGTGCGAAGCGTTTTTGTCGGATTTGGATCAATTGCCGTGCATTCAAATCGGAGACTTCAAGCTTCGCTTAGAACTTGATGACGACTTGTCACCAGAATTGCAGAATGTGGCCATCGAACAACTCAGAGAAACGCCAGAACAGCAGGCCAAATCGATCGCCGAACTGAAAGCATTACTCGAAGGTGAGCACACATGATTCTTCGTATGGTCGTAGAATTCATAAATATGACATTATGTACGCTTAATATTATGGTGCTGAGATTCGTCATTCTCCATAGTAATTTCTATTACTGCAACTCGAGTTTCTTGTACTGAACAACAACAATATAATACGCAAACCTAATCTGTGTACAGCGTATCAACCTAGTCATACCTACTCAATGTTCAACTTGGCAAAATTAAAGAAGGAGGACTCTGTTTATTTTTAAAAAATGACGTCCCCAAAACTTGTTAAGCGTTATAACTATAGCATAATAATAGTAGGCGACGCTAAAATTTCTAAAAATTAGTCAAGGTACTCCGTTCCCCCTCAAGTCGAGCATTGTACCTACCCACAACTCCTCGGTGTATTGGGCAACTGCAAACACTATGCAAGGATCTATATCCTCACTATATGAGGGATCTTAACGAATAAATTATACACAAATTTACTTTAAAAACGAAAATATAATTTTATTAACAAGTACAATACACACTTGTAATGATTACTTAATAGTTAATAGTGTATGATGTATACCTATGTTAAGCCGTAAATATGCTTTTATTGCATATTAATCATAGGAAAAAAAAACAGAAGAAAACCGCTGCATATAAAAATATTATTTTCTCGTCAGGTCATGTATGATATTATATTGTGCATCGATTAGAAACATCCGTGTTTCGTATGACTCGTGAGATATAATGTGATATAACACAAAAGCGTAAATTTTAGTAACTATATATATTATTAACTGCGCAGATAATATTTAATAGCCTACACGGTGAACACATGCAAAATGTTAAAGGTGAACACACGGTGTAAAGTTAACTCAGACACGTAATTTGAAGTTGCGTAAACAGTAACAGATACGCTTTATGTAGTTGTGCAGTGCGAAGTTCACGAAGGTTTAAGAGTAACAATTAGATAGAATTAATTAACTTGTAATCGTGTACGATTAAACGATCGCACAAATTAACCTACATCATACAACCGAGATATAAACAATGCGTCAAACATACTATATAAGCTACGATTCGTGTGTATATTTATTTACTGTAAACTGGCTAAAGAAACCTTCAAGTAAGGTAACTATTACACCTAAACTAAAATATCAGTAATATAATCAGGAATATAAAAGAAGGACAAGACTACTAAGTTGGGTAAAATACAAGATCGAGTAAATGGTATTGCTAAATTTGTATTTTAAGCTTCAAACTAACGTACTATTCTAAAAAAAAAAAACTATTTTTATCGAATGCCTATGTCAAGTGAATAATTTTATATTTTTAAAGATTTATTATAATAAAAATGTCTTAATGAAGTTAGTAGAACTATTAAAGTACTAACTTTAAGAACAAAAGAAAATTGGAACAATAAAAAATTTCAAATACCTATAAACAGCACCAATTTCATAAATTTAACTCGAAATTTCTTTAAATAAATAACTAATATTGTCCAATGAAAATTTTTTAAAATATCCAATTTCATCAACAAATTTCAGTTTGTAACAATTATTAATCATTTGTACGACTTTCCAGTTATTTTTTATTTATATTTTTTTTTATGTTTACAGATAAAATCATTTTTGCAAAAAATTTTATATCTAATGTTTAAGTCTGATATATAAAAGTTTGAAAATATGATGTATTTTTGATAGCAACAATGTAGCGGATTTTCGTGATTTTTATCCTTTTTTCAACATTTTAAAGGCTCATTATTTTTATTTTTTTTAATTAAGCTCAATTTTTTATTCTGTTATACTTATATATGCTTGATAAACATTATATTACACTTTCAATATTTTTTATGTAACCCAAACTATTTTATCAACATTTAAAAAAAAAATCTAAGAAAACATGAAAATTTTAATTTTCTTTTATATTCTGGTCAAAATCGTAGCAAAATCAATAAATTCCTCATTTTACTCAGAATCTAATAATATAGAAATATTATAATAAAAATAGTGAAAGTAGGTGGTAAGAAATACAATAAAATAATATAAATACTAAAATAATAATAATAATAAATCTCATAATTTAAAATAATACAAAAAGCAAATAAAAACTGAATTCAAAATTGAATATATGAACACACTATGTAAAAAATATTACGTGACTTCAAACAAAAATATATAATCGATAGTAAGGTTAACTAATGAGAACTCTAGGGGAAAAAAGAGCATGTTGAAAAGGAAATAGCAAAGACTGCATTTTATTATATAAAATTAATTAATATTATATATCTAGTGAATTGATACGTAAAACCAAGTAAATAATTTTTCGTTTTGATTGACCTACTTATTTATCATCACTATCTCAACAAACTTATCGTTTAAACGATATGTAACTATATTAACAGACGAACCGCAATCATTGATTTACCTATATTATAATAATCACTGCAATTTAAATTAACATTTTCAATAACCGCAATATGTGTACTACAAATCTAGTGTTTTTTTTTTTTTATATATATATTATTATTTTGACCAATTATAAAACTGCTATTGAACAATTACGACATAACGGTATTTACACATTCGTATGAAGTTTACACGAACTCATCCTTTTTTTTTTCCCCGTAGAATCTTTAATCTGTTTTCGAAACCAAAAACAATAAAATGTGTTTCACAACAAATAAAATTTGTTTGTAAAATCTTGAATATTTTACTATAAATAATAGGGCTTACTATAGACGCACGATATGCATCGCGGTTCGTGGTACCTAAATTGAACTTAAAAGCATTTCAAGTGGTTCTTTAATATATATATATAGGTATATATAGATGAAATGTAATATTATAATTTTTTTGTGTAACCCAATTGTAAAATGTAACCACACGACGATTTTCGCTTTTGCGAATTAAATTGTATTTGGTAAATAATATTATCGATTATAATCAAATTACATAAAAAGTTAATATTTTATGCACTTAAAAAAAATGGAAATGCGATAGTTGTAAAGTATATGCAGGCTTTATTAAGGTAAACAAACTAAATTAAAATGTGAAATAAATAAAACCACGATTATAACCCAAGAGCACGTTTCTTTTATAAATGTAATAGATAAAAATAATTAAAAGACAATCGTTTCGTTTTCGTTTCATATCTTATAATGTTTTTAGCGTTAAAAATGTTAAATGGATAACTTATTGTTTTGTATTGCTGTTTTATGTTGAATAAACGATTTTATTTTACAATTTTTTCAGCGGACAAAGATCTAAAAGCACCAATAGACAACGAAGCGTGGCTGATCCGTTTCCTCCGGCCAACGAAATACTATCCGGAAAGCGCATACAAGTTGGTATGTTATATATATATATATATATATATATATAATACGCTTATATGGCTATTGAATTTTTTTTTTTTTTAATTCATTATTATTAACATTTATCATACAATTTTGTTGACAGATAAAACAATATTATCAATTCAAAGTGAAACACTCCAATATATACAAAGATCTTACGCCCAGGACTGAGAAAAACATTTTCGATCATGACATTCTGCACGTCCTACCCAAACGTGACCAAGGTGGCCGCAGGATCTTGGTTATTGAATTAGGAAGTAAGTTAGTAAGTAGGATATGTCCGAAGTTGACTTATGATCCAACTCGGTCATGTTGAACCACTATTGAAGTCGACCAGATTTTTGCCGCGCAAATTGAACACGGCACAATTATCGTTGTCCGAATACAAGTACATGGTTAATGGGTATATTGATATATTTAAGTATAGAAGTAAATTATGACGTGTAACGGTCGTAACTCGTGTTTTATATTATATATATATATATATCCAAAGCTGTCCTAAGGATTCTGGGGAAAATGAATTCGGGGGCCCCTCAGTAATAATATACGAATATGATAAAAAAAAAATGCACACCAAAATTACAAAATGTTGAAAATATAGTTTTTTTAACCTTAACCAATCAATATCATTTAAATGCATCAATATAATGAATTCATTTTTCAATAGCTTCTCAACAATATTACCAGTTACCACATTTAATTATTCAAATTTAATTTATCCCCAGATCATTTATAAACAGCCATAAAAAATTAGAACGTCGATACTTGTGATAACGAAATTCAACGTATATTTGGATAAAATTAAGTCATCCTTCAAACTCCAACAATAACCAAAATAAATTACAGTTATAACTATTTAGAAATTAGAATAATCGAAAATACAGCCTTTACAATTAACGCTCAAATATAAATATGAGTTAATTTTATTTAATTAAATGTATTAATATTTCATAACGAAATATAGTATAAAAATAATTTATTAATACCAATGATCTCTGATGGGTGACGCCGAGTGTTTCTAATCGATCTGGACTTTAAGGAAACGTCCTTTAAATTTTCCTAGACTGGGGCTCAGGACAAAACGGTCCCGCTGCCCTCCCTCCTTGGCGACGGCCTCTATATACCTACTATACGTTATTACTTATTACAATATCACGTGTAGACCAATTTGAAAATGTTAATAAAAGTCAAAGTAGGGGATGAGGAAGGGAGAATTTGACATAACTACGTCTCGTTAAATATTTTAATTTTTCTATTAACACTCGTTCTATTTTGCAGAAAAATGGAAACACAAGAAGTGTTCGTTGGATGAGGTGTACAAAGGCGCTGTGATATTCCTCGAAGCGGCTATAATGGAACCGGCCACTCAAGTAGCCGGAGCTCAAGTTATTTTTGACATGGACGGTTTGTCGTTACAACAGACCTGGCAATTTAGCCCGCCGTTCGCCAAACGTATCGTCGATTGGCTTCAAGTACGAATCGTCTTCATAGTTATTATTAAAATTGACGACGACAGAGCTTTAGAGATGACTGACCAAAATATTGGTTCCGCTAACAAATCCCGTTTATTATACACGCAATTGTTGAATTGGAAAAATAAAAGAAAAATGCAGACTCAGAAGCTTTAGATGATTGCGAGCTATGATTTCTTTATTTCTGTGAATCATACTCGTAATATAGAGATTTAAACGTTTCCTATTTCCAACGTACCGATCGATAACTTAATGCGATAAGGATTTTAAAAACGGTTTTATATTTTACTCAACATACTGAATAAGTACTTAAATTGTATAATTTTCATAATTTCAATTTGTTCAATTATATTTTTGATATTTTGGAAGGAAAAAAATGGGAAAATCGATATAGAGGTAGATTTTACGATTTCGTATACAAGGCTTAAAAAAATAATAGTGTAGACTAAGAAATTGCAGACCTGGGTTTGTTGGATCGCGTAAGCGTTCAAAAAAAGTGGTTATAAATTATGTTTTATGACGAATTCAAATCAGTCTGCTAATTCATCGACTGGTACGTTAGGTCAGGTTAGGATAGACAGAATCAGAAAATCATGGTTTGCAATCCCTTTAAGAAAAAATGTAGCGCTTGTCGAAATTATTCAACATAAGTTATACGCGAATAGCCTATAGTACTCACTTAACTATATTGTTTTTCTTCGTTCTACATTTTTAAAATGAAAACCTTAATGAACATATTGATCGAATAAATTATAATTAAACAATAGTGTGTTTGACGAAGTACAAACTGAAAAAGTATAGTTTTCGTAAGAGTCGGAAGAGTAATTGTTTCGTAAAATAGATGTACCATCGATAATTATCATCAGTACAGGATTACTATCCTAAAAGCGCAATACCGAACACCGTAAAGTAGTAGGCAGCAGTGGCGTGCCGAATATAGGTCTAAATGAAGCCCAGGCATCAAGTTATAAAGGGGTGGGTTGTTGTTGGATGATAATATGTAAATCACATAATTATCGTATATATCTAGGTAAAGAAATATTGATATATGAGTTCTAAATGAGATGAATTTAAATATGGGTGGGTGGGTGGTAAACTAGATTTTGCGACTGGTATCAAAAAAAATTTTATCTTGGCATGCCACTGGTAGGCAGCAATGTGTATAATACTTTACATATGTATTCTTGTTTATTATTAATTTATAATATCATAGTCTTCTCGAACCAAATCAATTCGATCGCTGCCTATACATGCACATGATTCCTTTTGTAATGACATGTTTTGTATCATTATCGTTTTTCATTTCCAGGACTCTGTACCAGCGCGGGTCAAAGGAATCCACATCGTTAACCAACCGGTTATATTCAACGTGGTGTTCAACTTCTTCAAACCGTTCCTGAGGGAAAAACTACGGTCCCGGGTGAGCTAGATCACTTATTATTGTTCTCCTTAAATTGCACTTACAATCAACAGTGTATGTCCCCACGTATTGTCACGAACACAACGACGCATCTACGGATGTGCCTCTCGTCTTCACGGGCCTTGTACCAAATATATTTAGAATAAGGTCCGTGCGCTTGTCCTAAGCCGGTTAGTGTTGGCTCTACATGACTTTATTCCATCGGCACGTATTTTTTTCGCGGTAAAATCGTCTTTTCCTCCAGATCTTTTAGCCGTGCATATCGCGTAGTGGAAGTCTGCAGACCGTTGTAGTATCTCCTGACAACTGTGCACGTGCGGAAACGGAATACATTTTTTTAATTTTTTTTTTAACCTTTGCAGATCATTTTCCACGGCACCGACCGGGCGTCTTTGCACAAATACCTGTACCAGCCGTGCCTTCCGGAATCCTACGGCGGCACACTGGACGTACCTCGCATTACCGGACCGCAGTGGTACGAACTCCTGATGACCGTGACGAAAGAATTCGAAGGTAAGCGAAACGGACGTTGTGCGATACCAATGATTTAACCGTCCGACTAACGGACTAACCAACGGTTTGAACCTCGCAGACCACCGATCCCTTACCAACATTCTACGCATTACTTATATCTTCTTGTATCTTCGTAGCTTAAACTACAAGTTGTAGATCTCGTCCACGTAAGATCGAAAAACTTTTCGATTTCGCCTCGTGAGAATATCCGAGTAGGAATTATAAAAACAATCAATATTACCTATATGTTTATAGTTGATACGTAATTATATCTGTGTATATCATGTATTATTTATCATTTTCCGAGTCTGTTCACTCGACTTGATTTCGCGGCACATTGATGGTTTTGGTCCCAACGCGAGTCGTTTTTTCACCGACATTTTATGGTCACGAGTCGTGTAATATTATCGCACCATATATGTTCTTAAACTGTCCTCACTACCGATAAAAAAAATACCGCGATGTGAAATGTCAATTGATTTTCATTTGTTCGCAGTTATCAACAAGTACGGATACAAACAATGATTCCAATAAAAGCAACAAATTCTGTCCTGCAATGTACGCATCAAGACAAAACAAGAGTTTATCCCTCGTGCGATGTCAAGAATTGAAAAAATAAATAAATATTTTTATTACTTTGGTGTCTGTCAATCTTTAAAAAGAGAACCGCATGTTTATTTTTATTTATATTATATCAAACAAATAAATTACTCTCGTCTTAAGTTTACCAAGTTTGACAACGACCTTATAGGCCTATGGATTGCTGGTAACCATATATATATATATGTATATATATTGTGCTTAGACAGAAATAGCGCGTGTGTGGTACGTTGAACAACATAGGTTCTCGTGGTGGTACTCCACCGTTATATATCTATACATAATTTTACATGATTAATATTTATTTATTCTTTTATTTATTAAACGATTGTTTTATCAATACGAATATCTTTTATTGTTATACAGTACGAATACGTATACTGTATGTTTTGTCTGTTCAAATTATAAACATGTACTGACATTTATTTAATTTTGTAAAATTAAAACAACATTTTAAAATTTAATACATAATAAAATAATACGTATTTGTGCATTTTTATAGTACCCAGTGACGTTTACTGTATCATTACACTGATCATGGTAGGTACACCTACCAGGTACGTATACCTTTCACCGTAACCTTTTCAAAAATCAATAGATGTTCGAAAAACGAAAAACCGTGCGAATGGACTGTTCTATCGACATCATCGAGCAGATTTGATAAAGCGTAAAGTGACATGACTCGAACTAAAAACGACGGCTATGACTCCTGGCTTCGGACAAACGTCATATTATGTACATTACGATTGCCAGCCCCTATCGCCAAATCGATATCATCGTCGATGATGGTCTTTCGCAATACTAATTGGTATATCACGAACACAAACATAAAATTAAACGCATAGTGATTTGTATTATTTGACTTTTAACATTTAAACCGTGCATTTCTCTGCGAATCTGATGTAATTATTGTTTTTTTTTTTTATATACCATCAAATTGTATCCAATATATAGGCGCTAAAATGTCCTATGTTCGATAGGCTTTCGATAGAGGTACCACCTGTGAAAACGATAAAACTTATAATACAATGTACTGATGTATGTCTTGAATTTTGATACATCTGGTACACACACATACAAGTACATAACGGTACTGGCCTGTTGGATTTTTTTTTTAATACATCGGTCAGTATTGATAAATGAAAATATATGAGAACGCGTCATACTCGATGGTGATTACTAGGGTTCGGATTTTATAGCATTTGCCAATTGTTATGGGATTCAGGTTAGCAAAGTGAGGTATACACTTGTTTTGTGCAGCAGGAACTTCAAAAATGAAATTAATTTTGCTATTTTTTTTACATATTAAAGTATTTTTTATTTTTAATTCTATTTTCGAAATCTAGGTGTTATTTTTTCTTTTTCTCTAATTTGCGTGATAATATTTATTTTGTATTTTTCATAAATATAGTTTATAAAAAATTGAATTAATTTATATATAATTAGATAAATTTCCAAATGTTCGTTTTTTAGATTGTTAACGAAAGAAAGTCTAGTTTTTGAGTTTTTTTTTTTGATTATTAAGTATAGTTTTATTTTATAAGTTAATTCATAAGATTATATTATAGAATAAACTCTCAGTCAAAGATAATAATTTAAATTAAATTTTGATTAACACTAATTTTTTTTTTTTATTATTTGCTGTTTTTGATTTTTTTTATGAATCATTTTAAGATATTTTTGGTCATATTATAATGCGTATTTCAGTTATAGAATCGCTATAAAATTAAAAATCCGGTGATTACAGTGACTTTTATTCAGTGTGCGTCTGATTCATAATTTCGAATTTATTCGAAAACAACAGTGTAATGTTGTGCATCATTCGATTGTAAAAGAAAGCACAAATATTTTATTATGTATACTATTTATATGTAGGTGATTTTTAAAACCATTTCAAATAAATAAATAACGGTATATTCGATACCCGCACGAACAACACGGGTCGAACAATAAATACTATTGACATTCCTACCTACATTCAAAGGACCACCCAAGATCCATGCCACTGCGTGTCCCTATATAACAGGGACACACACTACCCTTCACAGAGCTCTTGATTTTAGGTCGTCAGTGCATGCGTACTGATCGTAAGATCAACGAAGAGTTTATATAAGCGATTTATTTTGACTTATAATTTTAATCCGTTCGACTTGTGTTTTTCGTACGAGTATTGAAGAGTATCCGGATCCAGTGCAATTAAATTTTGCATTTGTCCTTTTTCTTTCAACCTTGCATCGAAATCTGAAGGTCCACGGCAAAATAAGTAAGTGCTGTTTTATTTAAATTGGCAGACTGTACAATTGCGCTGATCGGCTTTCGAAACTTCTCAACCCTAAGAGCCCTCCCTTAAACAAGGAGGAAGGTAACAACCCTTTAATACATTAACACCTCACCGCCATTCACATACATACCATCTCCCCCACCCCTATCCTTACTTCTCCTATATTATTTTTTTGTATTTTTGGGTTATTACAATAGGTTTCCAGAACACGAGGTAAAAGAAAGTATTTTTACTAAGTATTGTTTTTACTTATCAAACCAAATTATTTTATCGACATTTTCGAAAAAAAAACTAAGGCTAACTTGAATTTAAACTTGAGATGTTTAATTATTAACAAATTGTTCAAATAATCTTTTGATTATTATACCATCGATAGTAAACAGTGGAAATTTCAAGGTTCTACAATTATAAATTTTTTTTTTTTCGTTAAAAACAAAAATTGGATTTTGTCTAAAACCGGTAAGCCGCAAATATTGCTGTATTTTTATAATCGTTCGTCAGTTTTTCACAACCATAAAGAAAACTGTACATTTCCTATCAGAAAACTCTTGCGATTGTAAAGATTGGAGCAATACTTCTGGTCAAAATCGTGTACACGGACTAAAAAAAAAAGAAAAAAAAACGTAGCACACGATTATCAGTGGTGAGGTTTTGTACCTGAATGTTGGTCGACGGAAAAACATGTAATTCGTATAAGAAATTAAATAAAAATATAAAAATGTTATAAAAAATAAAAATATAATTCTGAAAATATTATTATTATTGTTATTCAATCGAGCTGGTACGGATCATGTTAGATGTACCATACCACTCGCATACCTTGTTCACGCTCGTACGTATTCGCACTGCAGTTTTAATACTTACGGTACATGCACCGTTTTGTGCATTCGAGTGTGCTCGCCAGCTTAATAACATTGCGACATGAGTAACCCCCGGCTCGGGAATCATTGCAAATAATTCCAGTTCTGTGAACCTTCGCTTTACGCGCAAACGAACACATTCAATGTTTTGCACGTGTTTGTTATATATTTTCCGCGCGCACGACACATGTTTTTCGACGCGTTTCGCTTGTGATTTTTAATCTTCGAAATCGTCGGTGAAAACGTTCACAAAGGATACCTGATCCCGGGTGAGAACATTTCAGTTGCTAATATCGCTGTCGGCAATCATGTCTTACGTTGTACGTCAAGTTAAAGTCGGGAACATTTTGCGCCTCCGAGTATACGGTTATTCACTGTGAATAATATGGGTTGGTTATCGTTTTACGAATAAGAAATATGATCAAGGAAAACGATTAGGAAGACATTTCATTGTTTAGCGAGTATTTTAGTGCGTTTGAAAATTAATTCACTATGGTACGGTGTAGGCGCATAAATGCAAGATAACGAACATGCGTAGGTACAGCTATTATAATTTTATCAACGAGTGTTTATGACGTTTTCTCGTGTTCAACATGATAGGTCCGCATAATCAAAATCCGTTTATTCCCAGTACATATATTCGCTTCCGATTCAATTTAATATGACCAGTAGAAAATTATCATTTTTGTTGGTATTGTATTTTTGTTACGAGTATTACATAATTATTAGATTAATCCAGTGCACATGAACGCGTCCTGAAATTCACATGAATTCCGTCCCGGGTTTTCTAAACGACTACACGAATTGCATCCCAAAGTAAAAACATTATTTTCCTTTCCATTTTACGACTTAGGACTGTCGAGAGCAAATTATTACTAACGGTAGGTTAAAAATATGGTTTTTTGTCGTTGTTATGCATTTAAAAGTATGTCGATTAAATAATATTAATTTATAATTATAACTATATTAAAAAATTAAAAAATTAAATTAAGATTTAAAAAATTATGAACGATATCTTTTTACTAAAATCGAGACGAGTTAATTGGCCATTTTCATATTTCTCGTATAGTCCTTTAGATAAAGCCGGACGCAAACTTGCAATCGTCTAGAAAACCGGGGTCGCAATTCGTGTGCAACCAATTAATTATTTAATTTATTATCCAATCATTAGATTTAGATGTATGTAGATGATATGATTTTTCGGTTTTACGCAAACTATATAATTACCGTTTTGTTATGTGTTATTCGTATTCGCCGTCATAAGTTAAAGTTGTTGATTTAATAATTAATTCTTTGAGTGCATAAGCATAGACAATAATCCGTCAAAATAATAATAAGCACATTAAGTCGTATCGATTTCGATGCATTAATGCAACACTTGTTGTTTCTGTCCGCCGCACTACATATTCGTTGTACAGAAAGAGAAAACGGTTTATATAGCAGTAGTCTATGATTACTACGTGACCGTTTTGGTTTTAATGTCCCTGAACTACTGCGCAACGATTTCTAAACGGATTATATTATACGAGGCTCGTTCGAAATATTCACGTTTCAAAATAGTTGTAAACCAAACAACGAATTATTATTATCAACATAATCTACGCGTATACTGAATAGTTTACTTTTAATAATTTAAGAAAGTTTAAACGGAACAGCCTATGGGCGAAACTCTTTTCGATCGAATTAGAACACCGCCCGGCAAGATCCACCTTCTTGTACTAACAGGTATAATTCACCAACAGGGTTTGAACGTAATTTCAATAATATTTGACTAAAAATCTTATTTTCTCGGAAACACGGACGACCGGTACGGTCCATACGTAACGGTCGACGAAAGCCAATCAAAAACGAACCGTAAAAATGTGCTCGCGAACGCATTCAAAACGCATCGAACATAGGCGTGTCCAAAACATTTCAGCAGGTCGTGCACGAGGCAAATATAAGCACGCGTAATACTGGGTTACCAGAAGTGAAAACAAAATACGACTTTCAAATTTCGATGAAAAAATCGATTATTACCTTGTGATCCGTGTACGAACACACAGTTACTGATTTTCTGAATTTCTGCTACAGTTGTGAACGACGTTTTGTTGAGACCTTAATTTTAAACTAACGTTAATTGATAATGCAATTAAAGTCAAATGTTGCAGGTCACGCGAGAGGCACGCAGACCGGCCTATGATTATGATATACACGTATATATTCACCACCAATCCTGTGTCGCCGTAACACACGCGCACCGCAATATTCGCAAATACTTGTAGTTTACTATTGCAGTTGCACGAAAACTTGAATATACTTACGCGTTTGCACTACCTAGGTTGAATCCGTTCATTAAACGAACGGAATGTCACCCGGCAGTGCGCGCAAATCATTACCTCGACATCCTATATCAGGGCCGGCCAAACTCTTTTTGGCCGCGATCTACTAAAAATATACTTCATTCTTGAAGATCGACTTACATGAAAAAGTTTTTTTTTTATTATTAAAAATACCTATGATCATTAAGAAACGTACTTGCATTAAGTGCATATTGACTTACGTAAATTTATATAAATTAATTACTTGCGTCTAGTTTAGATTTTATTTTGTTGAAGTGTGACATTGCATTTCATTGACCAATCGATCGTAATCTGGCGAATGATTGATGACTGCTAATCGAAGGCTCTGTTCAAAACGGTCATCAGAGAGTGTAGCCGGGTATTCAGTTTTTATCACTTTCATGTGAGAAAATGCTGTTTCGCACTAAACTGTAGATCCAAAATAAGTATGCAACTGCAAAGCTACATTACTTAAACACGGATATTTTTGATCGATTTTCGTGAGCGTAGCATGATAATTAATTCTAACACGATCGGCTTTGAAACAGTTTGCGACCGACCGTTTGCCCCCCCCCCCCCTGCCCCCCCCCCCCCCGTGTCCGATAGCATACGTGTTTTTAAGCGTTTGCTCGTAATGCGCGCGTTGGAGAACGGTTTTCGGACAAGGAGACCAAAAGAATATTTATCGTTCCGCGGATAATTTTCCGTCGCAGGACCCCGTAAGATTACGGGGGGAAAATACATACGACGGAACCGCGTGGGACTCGATAAATATAATCCGTTTTAGACACGTTTCCAGATCGCAATTGCCCCGCGAAATGATTTACGATCCGACCTGATACAGTTATCACCGTGCACAGGTTTATTTTCGGTTAGGTTTTCGGTCGGACGGGTTTCGCTGTGCGTGTACACGCACGATACATGTAACGGGGACGGTGTGTAAAACGTCCATTTACAGGCATTCGCTTTCGGCGGTCCGATCAAGGTTTGCTTACCGATGTGTATTTAAAAAAAAATAATAAAAATTGGGCGCCAAAGGCGTTCGACGTCCCGGAGCGTACATGTCACACGATGACGTGATCCAGTTCGTGAGGCCGACGGGCCAACGCGATATATTTTTTTAATCGCGTTGTAACGGTTAACGGTTAATCGCTGAGGCGGTTTTCTGAGTGAACGTGGCTGCTACAGGATCACTCGTGTCTCGTATTTCACGAATCTGTGTGATCTTGAAAAATCAGTCGGTTATAGAACATTTTTTTTATCTTTTACTATTTTTATCATTTGCATTACATAAAATCCATAAAAAAAAAAAATTATCATAAGCACTTAAGATTAAGATATTTTCTATGTATTTTTGACGTGAAGGACTTGAATAAAGGAAAATTATGCAACAGCAACACTTTAAACATGTATTTTATTAATTATTAATTTTACTAGTGTAGTGTCACCGCACCAATTTCTTTTGATTCTTCTTGGGGAAGGGGGTTTCTCTCTGGAAGTATTGACGATGTCAAGCATGAAAATCAGAGGGTTTGAACGGTTTTAACATGGGATAGAAACGATGACGTTCGTAAATTTTAAGATTATATTGATGAGGGAGGAGGGAATGGTTTGATAAGTAAAAAGGTTCATGTGTATTGTTATCGTTTGGAATGTTTGTATTTTATTTGTGTTGGTTTTCTTACGGGTTACACCTAGAGGCGGAATTTCCAATACGCAGAATAGGTATTAATAAAATGCATCATTCATATAAAATAAAAATAAAATAGAAAATTCCTAGTTTTATATTTACGAAAAATTATGTAATATTTACTTAACTGTCCAAAAAAAACAGTTCTAATTATGGTGGTTTACAAGACTTATCGTTGTACGTTTTCATTCAAATTTGGTAAACATCCATTTTAATTTCTTCAAAGTAGGCTAAATAACTAAAAGAAAAAAAAAATCGTATAAAAATTCAAGTGGATGAGGTACTATTATATTTAATAATTAGGACGACAACATTTTAGTTCCTATACCAGTAAAATAATTAAATTTGCATAAGTATAATTTTATGGTAAAATTAATATTTTCAAAAACATTTAAAAAAAATTGAAAAATCGCACATAAAATCCAAGATGGTGATTAATTATGAACCTCGGAGCGATAGAAACTTTTTTTTTTGTTATTTAGGAACACAAATCAAAACTTTTTGCAAAGTTTCAAAACTTTCAGATTTAATTCCGTAAAAATCGTTAAAATAAGAGACTACTCACACAGCATAGGTATATTTATTCGCTATATATGTGTATTTAAGTATTTAATAAATATTTAAAAACTGTACTATAATATTTTAATACAATTTTCGTTGATGTAGGCGAATTTTTCGTAATCTTTATTCTCGTAATGTTCTTCGGTCTGTGTATGCGTCTTTACGATTGTGGTGATCAAAGCTATCTTTCTGTTCGAAATCGTAATTATTCTCATTATATATTATATTAAAAAATTAATTAAAATAATAGCGTATGTACACTTGTATACACTTGACCTCGAAAAATGTGTTCATTATTTTTTTTTTTTTTTGGAATAACTTTCCGGTATTCCGTTAAACTACTCTTGTACCACCGTCGACCATAAAACGTGAAGAGACTTTATAGAGACATTTGAGACTTTTTTTAGAGACTTTAGCCTACATAGGCATCGGGTAACAGCAGTTAATCTGAGGTGATGAAACGTAACGAGTAGCGATAGCGCATGGCCATAGGTGCAACGCAACACGGATTGAGATATATCCTAATTAACTCTTATATTTACGCGGGATAACGAGTTTTATTACATAACGAGCGTGCGCATTATAAACAACAACGGTTGTGAATTCCGTCGTAGAAAAATGACACGATATCAATCGGATCGAAACGTCGTTGAACGAGAATGTCTCGCACGGTTTTCGTAAAACATTTCGTCGGGTATCCCCTACAGGGGTTTTCGACGATCGGAGGAAATCCGTTTGCTGGAAGAAAGGTTACGTGTCTAATTTATATGCATAATGTATGAACAATGAAGTTCAAACCGCTAACGAGGTACGTTTACGCGCCCCTGCCGGCGTACTGCATAATAATAACATTGCCGGCGCCGTGAGCGATGATTTCATAAGCATCGACGGCGTTAGTTATTCCAATTTTCACCCGTCGACGAGCGCGCGCGATCCGATAACGGTAACGATTTTTATCCCCCTCCCCCCTCCAAGCAAACCTAGTTGCACGGTTGTACTAAAAAATAAAAAATAAATAAAAATAATTTGAAAAAATCTAACTGATGATCGGAGGTGGCTAGCGGGAGAAAGTCGCGATAGGCGCGCACGTTTATGAAACGTAGTCTATTGTATTCGAATGTTGCGCAACAGTCAATTACCGTATGAAATACGTACACCGTACATGTGTAATGCACAGTCAATAGCGTACAAATGCGAGGAAGGTCGAAAAACGACGAGAAATTAGTACGTGACACGTAATCGTAACAGGTAGATAAAAAGACTGTTTCGATACAACCGTGCCCCGTACTGCGCGTCCGAGTGGAAAAAGCGTCGAGTGTCCAACTTGCTTTTCCATCTCGTGTCGATTCTCAGCTGTCACAAACCGAACGTCGGTTGAGCTCGACGCCAACACTAAATCAAAGTCAAACAAAGACTTTCGTTGACAAATCTTACTCCAGACACTGATAATGTATGCGGACGAACAGACGCTCAACGCCCGACACATGAGTCGAGACCGACTTGGTGCGGAGAAAAAAAAAACCGCTCTCCCCTACGGGTGTCCCGTATACGAGTATGCAGTCACGTTCAAGCGCATCCGTCCCATTCGTGCACTGATTTCATTATTATTTATCTTGACATGTTCGTTGAAATCAGATGTTAGGTACTTGTTCTTGGACGCGCGACGATACTTTCTGAACGGATAACTGAATCGCGTTCGGCTGCGTTCAGTGTTAACGTCACCGTTTGTCGTCGTCATTATTTTTTCGAAGACAATTTTCTCGGGGCTACCGCGTAAGATAAACGTCACCGAATCTGGAAAAGAAACACACCGGTCCAGGAGAACCGAGCACCGGCGGTTAGAGGATCAGAAATCGGTCGTGTCGAAGTGAACGCGCAGTTTCCGGCATCAGGGTCGCCCAAAGTTCGGTGGCGAGCGGCGGCGCACCGACGAGTGTGCCCCGCGATTACCGGGACCGGGTGACGGCAACACAACGGGCAGTGCGGGGCCAACGCCGCGCGCGACGAACAATAATCGATACGTTGGCGCGCGCACGCACACGATTCCGTCGTCCGGATCTGTTATCAGTGGGCCGCGAGACGGTACACGCGTCCCGTGATAACGGCCGCTCGGCCAACGCGCCGAGGTGAACGTGTTCCGTGCGGGGGGAAAACGCCGCCGCCGATCGGCCGTCCGTTTTCCACCGGTCGCGTACCGACCACTCACTCGCCGACCGCCATGGATCCGCCGTCCGACGACCAGCCGCTGTTCGACCCGAGCTCGTTGGCCGCGGCCCGGCAACGATCGACGATAGACTTCGACGACGGCGACGGTAAATACCACCTGAGGCCACTTCGTTCCACCGACTTCGCCCGAGGTACGTAAACGCGCGCCGCTACTATTTCGCTCGTTTTTTTTTTTTTTTTTATTACACCCGCGGACGGTGTGTGTGTGTGTGTGTGCGCGCAGGACACCTGGACCTGTTGTCCCAGCTCACCGTCACAGGCGACGTCGACCGAAAAACCTATGCGGGTGAGTGTTGTTCGGGATCGTTTCGACGTACGTACACCTAGGCCACGGGCTTCATCGAGCACCGTCTCGTGTTTCAGACACGTTCGCCGCGATGAAAGCCAACGCCGGCACCTACTACATCATCGTCGTCGAGGACACGCACCGCGATCGAATCGTCGCGTCCGGCTCGTTGGTTTTGGAAAAGAAATTCATACACTCCTGCGGTCAAGTTAGACATTGTCCTAACATAATAATTTTCTTCCTCCGTCTCGCTAATATCGGTTAATTTTTTTTTTTTTTTGTTATTTATTTTTGTATTTCTCGACATTGCAGCGAGGTAGAATCGAAGATATCGTTGTCGACTCCGACTGCAGAGGAAAACGTTTTGGTAAAATGTGAGTTTGGCAATCGCGGTGTTTATTTTCACAACAATACCATATCGTGTTCCTTAAAATTACTGATGTAAATCAAATCTATAACAATACACCCATATTCTTTTATCATTTACAGTGTTGTTCAACATCTGATCGCTCTGGCATGCATCCTGAAATGTTACAAGATTTCACTGGAATGTAAAGACAGCAATGTGAATTGGTATAGTTCAATGGGGTTTGTAAGCGAACATGGAAATTCAAACTATATGCAAATAAGGTTTGAAGAGTCTGTGAATTGATATTTGATTGCAATAAAAATTGTTTTTCATTAATTTTATTATTTTCATTTACAACATTATATCTCTCACTTTTTCTAAAAATGAAAATATATCTTACATTATCAACTCGCTAGTTTCTATGAAAAGCAAAAAAAAAATGTTATTACAACACGTCAAGTATATTATGCTTTAATATTTTTATTTCACGTCACCATTTGTTAATTTTTAACATGTCATGTCTATACGAGCAGTTTTTTCTCAACCTAGTCATGTAATTCAAACTACCAATTTCTTCTTATTTCTAAATAATTATAAGAAAACAAAAATTTCAAATAAAAATATATATACATATATATTATCAATCATCCTTTTATGATTTTGCATTATTGCAAGAAAAAAGTAAAAAAAAAAAATCCAATATTTCAATAAAAATGATTTAATTCAACCACAATAAACAATTAGTTTATTAGACAACTGACATATTAAATTCATGCTATTATGCATGCATAGAATATTTCATTACAATTATAGTATTACAAAAAATATTAAATAAATTGAGTACCCCCCACGTATATAAAACAATTAATTTAGAAGGTATAAAGTCATTAACCATATTTAGTAAAAAAAAATATATATATAATTGCAATAATATTGTAAAATAAAACGCAATATTTTTCATACTTAGTGTTTTAACAATTCTTAAAACTATACAAATGATGTTCATAAATACATAAATAACCTTTAAGTCTAGATACTTGTAACTAATTAGACTCATAATTAATACAAGTTATTCACATTTAGACATTAGTGTTTGTAGTGGTTATTGGTACCTAGGAATATCAGTAGTTGAAGCAATAGCAGCAGGTGACTTATTTGAATACCCTGTGACTGAACTCGTCGGAACAGAATACGAGGCCTACAAATAAAAACAATTACAGTTATTACAATTCTTTTAAGACAAATACTTGTATAAGTTTACATGTTGTTGAGACGATTGAATAATTGATGGTGATAATTGAGATGCTGAAGATGGAACTGTGGGGTGTCGCATAGGATAACCAATGTTGTGCGTTTTTTGGCTCTGTTTTATCAAAAATAATAATTGTCAAAAATATATATTTCAATTTAACTGTGTGTTAAAAAAAAAAATTAAATACCATCTGATGAGGTTGTGATGGAACTGTCGTGGTATTCGATGGGTGAACATTTCTATTACCTGGCTGTTGGTAAAAATTTGATACTGGAGACACTAATTTATCATCTGAATAAACACCATGAGGTGGCTTAGGGTGATCTAATAGAAAATAACAATCATATTTAAATTTTTTTTTTTTCAAAATATTTGTTTTAAATTATACATACATGTATGATTACTAGTTTGATTTCGAATGCCTGGACTCATATACATAGGTGGATGGGATAGTGTACGATGATGCAGATTATGTTGTTGATGGGAAGTAACAGGCTTCGTTAGTTGTCCATGTTCACTGGCCACACTTACCACTAAATTGCCACTATTAGTAGATTCTGTTCGTGACAAAGGCGGTGGTGGAGGCCCGGAATAACTATATACTGTATTAACTGTAGATAATGATGTAGATGATGATGACATGCCATTATTAACGCAATAATTAACTGCAGTTGTAGAACTAGGTTGGTAAAATGATCCATAATTACTAACGTTTGATTGTGTATTTTCTAAAATAAAAGATTGGATATTATAAATTTTTTAATTTTAGAGTAAATTATTAAAATTTTACAATAAAATAAAATTTAAAAATGGTAAATGTCCAATTGCGATCAAATACATAAATATTAACATATAATTAAATTTTAAAATATTTATTCATACAGTTGAATCACAATTTAAATTAATGTGATCCAACTGTATTGGTTTCCTTACTGTTAGTATTGTTGCTATTATTATTAATCCAAATATTTCTATTGAATGCTTGGGAGTTATCTTCCCTTCGTCTATTGGAGTTATCAACTAAAAAATAAAAATTATCCTTTTACTGAAAATAATAATAAAAAAAATAAAGAATATAATATAAATATTTAAAGATCTAAATAACTTACTAGGGTAATTACTATTGGTTCCAGTAGATAATGACTGGCTTAAATTATTAATTACAGGAGTTGAGTTTGCAGAATTTAAATTATTAGAACTACTATTGCCACTATTCATAGATTTATATGCAGGATAGGGTACAACAATTTGCTGTTGTTGATAGTTTTGCTGTTGAATGGATTGAGGTTGAGGTGATGGAGTTCTACCCGTTTTGTTACTGGTTCCTATATTCTATGAATATATAATATATATTTATTAAAGTATTCTATTTGAAATAATGTTTACAACTGTTAAATACTCTTAGTAAATGATTCAAGTAAAATTTAAAATAAATATTTAATCTTTCATATTTCTGTTTGACAGACATTTTGATAGTAGTTAACACCAATGAATTGATAAGGTAATTTTAAATAAAATTTGTTTATCAATTCATAAATGTTTACTAATATCAAAGGGTCTATCAAACAGTAAGATGAAATATTAAAGATAAAAAAGAAAATTAGGAAGTATAGTTTACTATCAGAGGATACAATGATTAAATTGTATGTCACATTAGATTATGTTACGGATCATAATGTAGAATTAAATAATATATGACAATATTTGTTTGATTTACCGGCACTAATAAATGAGTGGAACTACTGCTATACAATGAAGGAAATTTTGTATAAGTCACTGTGCTAGATAAAGAAGCTGATGACATAGTAGAACGAGTCACATGGTTCTGATTGTTTGCAGCAACATCATTTATTGTAGATGGAGAACAAACCAATAATGTTTGGTGACTACTTCCAGTGTTACTGGTATTGGAATTATGCATTATCAAAGACTGCTGTGGCAATGGACTTAATCCACTGCCTGCAGCAGGAGATCCTGTGCCAGGCTGTGAATTAATTGTACATTGTGGTCTAAATATATGTTGTTGATGTAAAGTGTTTGATCGATGATTTGTGACTACAGCATTATTGATATTATTAGGTACTACTAGTTTATTGTTAACAGGTTCACTAAAAATTTAAAAATTCATAGGTATTAAAATATGTTATTAATATTCAATTTACATAAATTTTGTTTTAATAATTAATTAATACCCATTTGGTTCAATTTTAGTCACTACTAAAGAAGTAGCTCCAGAATCATCATTGGTGTGGGTTTGATTCAAGAGTGCACGTTTTTCTTCTTCTAATTCATCTCGCTTATCTCGTAGTTGAGATAAACGACCATTTATCTGTGCTAATGACAGTTTATTTTCTTGCATTTTCTGATATTCAACACATTTTTTTTTTCTAAGCACCTCAGCATCTGCTTCAGCTATTTAATAAAACAAATAATGAGCTACTTAATACTAACCAAGGAAAACAATTCAATTATATCTATATAATAATATTATACATCAATATTATTATAATTAATAATTAATTATTTGTTAATAATTATTTAACATCGCATAAAGCAACCGATTTTTTGTAGTTTATTTTTATTTATTAATTACATTTAGTTATTTTGTTGATACATTATAATAGTTGTTATATTATGTTATCTGTAATAATTAATACAAATCATATAATAAAAAAATTTATGAAAACTTAAGTCTGCCAGTCTGGCCGTTCTATCTGGCCGATTTCATTATTATTTTTTTTTTTTTAATGAAAGGTATTAAGACACAGATATGTCATCAATCATTGAAATTTACTCAACTCCCACTAACGCAATTCTTCCCTGTACATTTCTTATGGGATACATTCACTCAAGCAATTTGGATTCTCAGAGCTCCTCTTCTAATGAATAGATCTTGATCGTTCCACTCTCAGAACAATCAGTGGATCAAGCTCTTTCTTTTGAGTTATTAACTGCTTAAATTTTTTGAGTTTGAGGAAAGTTATGTGAGCACAATCAACTTTACTTTCAATTTTTTTCAAAATACTGCATTCTCATTGGCTCTTACCAATTAGTTTTAATAAACACTTTCTGTCATTTCGATATGTCTTTGATTTTTCGATATTATATTCATTTATTGATTTGTTAAAATGTCTTTATGTATTGATTCGCAATTGCACCTATACTTTTTATTATATAAATAAATTATCTATTGCGTATTTTAGCAACAGGTATACTAGTATAATATTATTAATTTTGATAATTCAATTTAACATTCAATTTGTATTTATTTCATACATATGTGTTCATATATTTTATTAAATATGAATTTATTTCTTATTGAAGTTTTAAAAATGTGAAATAGTGTAAATAATTTAAGAGTTAATCAATTTTATTTAACAACATTAAATAAATTAAATTCGCAATATTAGTTTTTTTTTTTTTTTTATAAAATTAAAAATACTATAGATGTAGATGACCTATCACAAATAAATGTATATGTATTTACATTTTTTTTCTGCACTTAATTATTAGTTAATAGTGTTGCACGATATATTTTCAACTATCAATATCCTATTGACAAAAAAATCTATATCCCTCTGGATATAATTTATAAAACTAATATTAAATATTATTGCATTCATTGTTATATTATAGAAAATAAAAATTGTAACAACTTGATATCAATACACTTTTGATAAATTAGTTACATTGATATTGGTATAATAGGTTTGATATCAATATTGATATTGAAATACGATATCATTGTGCATCATTATGAGTAATTAAAATATTTTGAATAATAAATTAACGAAAAAAACAACTAGAGTATTTAATAATGATATGTTTTATAAAGAATTTAATTTACACCCATTTTTATTAAATTAATTGAAATAAATTTGTGAATTCATTCTGTGAGATTAATATAATCTTTTTTAGTTTAAGTATTTAATATAGACAAGTAACAAATTATAATAATAATCCAAAATAGTAAAATTATATATGTATGTATAATAACTTTCTAAAATAAGATTATATAATTTTATTGAGTAGTTAAGTTATCAATGTAGGATAAATCCACACACATCATAGATATAACTATTCAGTATTTATTATATATTTGATAAATGTTAAATATCCATTGGTTGAACATTTTTAAATGTATGTTTTGAATGATAATAAAGTTTAAAATCTAAGTTTTTTAGAAATCAAATATATATTCAATGCTATATAAAGTTATTATTTTAAATATTTAAATTTCTATCATACATAAATATTGTTTAAATTGTTATGATTGAAAGAAAATGTAATCAAAATAATTCAAAATAATTGTACATTAAATGAATAATACTTATTGAATAGGGCTCAGATGTTTATGCACTTAAAATTACTATAATATGTACTTATGTACACTAAAAAATTTCCAAAATACAAATTTAAAATACTCATATGCACAATAGAAAACATAAAATATGCAAAGTAAAATTGAATTTATCTTTAGTATTAAAAATTAACAATTTATTATAATTTATAAGTATTTAATTTTTATATTTTTACTAATTTACATTATGAGCGTAACACTTGATCAAATTTGAATTTGAAAATATTTAGGATAAACACAATTAATACGGGTCTATAATTTATCATTTGCCTACCTGTTAATTTAAATTATTTTTAAAAAAATTTCGAATTAGTTCTGAAATATGTATTCACATTCTTAAAATCCCAAAAACATGTATTATTTGAGAAAATTAATCAAATTTGTGACCAGGTTCGCATTAAAGTGGATCAATAGAATAAACTATGTAATTTAATAAATATCCAAGCTTTATTTATTATTGATTACACTAATAAAATAAGTATATAAACTTTTAAATAATTTTATGGGTTAACTTAAGTAGTACAGTTTTAAAATAATGAAATACATTGTTCACTATCAGAAATATTATATCAAAATAACTCCTAATCGATTTTAATGATACAATAAACATTAAATATAATATAATAATCCCAAGTTTCTAGGAATTTAACAACCAACACTTATACTTTATCACCTCTACATAAACTAGTTTCCTACTGGTATAAGCATTATAAAATAGATGTTTGTTTTTAAAGTTAATATTATAAAATTAATAGGTTATTAAAATTATTTTAATAAAAATTAGACACAGGGAAATAAAACATAATTAGGTATAATCGATGCTACCAATATATTACAACTTTAATACTGCTTGAAAACCAAGTCATAGAATAAAAAGGAGAAAACAATTTAAATATTTAATTTTCAACATTTTTTTAGTTTGAAAAATAATCATGAAATTGTAAAAAAAAAATGTTTATGAAAAATATGTAAAATAATTCAGCATATCTTCATGTCAGTCAATTAATAATTAGACTAATTCAGTCTAGATTAAGATATATCAAATAGTGATTTCAACTAATTTAAATATTACATTAATGCTATAACTTTTTTTGTAAAATAGTTTAATTTAAAGGAAATATATTTCTAAGATAATATCAGTGATTATTATTATGACTTTCCAGAGACAAATGTCTTACATTTTTCAGCTATCTATATAATGTGTGTAAATGCCATTAATTGTTATATATTAGACTAGTTAGTTATATATATTAGTTAGCATATTAGCTTAGTTGATATTTTTATTGGAAAAGAAATACACATTTTTATTATCTCATACATTATTCATTAATAAAATAGTATCAGTATTTTACTTGATAATCATGCGAAGGTAAACAATATTTAGAGATAATATACTTTTATAATTTATGGTTGTATTTATTTTAGCTAAACATTAAATATGTCATACTAATTACTTGATAGTTGTATTTAAAAAAATTAAGTAAATATTTTACAATCAATTTCAAATATTTAAGTAGTAATTTACTATATTTTTTTCAAATACGTTTTGATTACTATAGTTTAATTTTTAAATCATTAATATCAATTAGGGCAATATTATGCGGTATACTTTTGCTTTTCAATTACACTATATTGTATTAAAGGATTGGTTTACAATGGTTAGCTAAAAATAATTTAGGAAATTTTTATACCCCATAATAAATAAAATTATATAGAGTGCTTTAAGTAATTGCTAAACAAAAAAGTATATTTATATCTGTTTAGCAAGACATTTGATCATTAAAATTACTTTGAGGGAACGAAAATTAATATTTGAGTGATTTGCTGAGACTTCAGCTTTATTGTTTAAATCGTGTCAACAAAATAACTTGACATAGCAATGATAAAATAGCTAGCCCTACCTTGTTTGTTTTTCTTGCGGCGGGATAAGATATGCGTCCGCAACGACTTCCATATATTTGTGTCATGAATCTTGTCGTCTTGTTTGTTGGACATGGTGCCAGCGACTTCTTCTTCGATCAACATGATTGAGTTGTTGATATATGTCATGCTCTACAAGACCAACAGGGTATCATTTTCACCGTCATACGTGCGCCTACGGCGGTGCGATTAAGATGAAACGGAAAGATCGAAAAACCCACTTACACGTAACCACCGTCGGAGACGTACAAAGTGTTCCGTCCACGTCGGAAACGGCCGACCGACACGGACCGTCGGCGACGACGGAGACGGCCCCCGCGGGTTCTAGCGAGACACGTCCGTTCGCGGCGGCGGCCGAGCGGTGCGCATTTCGACGACCATACGCGAGCGAGGGCGTACGGGACGCGACGTCAAAACAGGGTCGAGAGCCCAAACGGCGGCGGAGATAAAGGGACAGCGGTGTAAAGAGTGGGACGCGGCGGAAACGGTTCAGCGAAACGGTGCAGCGAAACGCACTGGCGCACTCATATTATTAACACGGTACGAGGTACGTGTGTACATGGCACACGCACGCGCGCGCACACGGGGCACAATATCAGTACGCGACAGATGTGATTAAATTACACGCGAAACGTTTGCAATTGTTGCGGACGGACGGTGTGATACAAGAAGTAATTAGGCACGTCGGTCGGGTTCGTTGTTTCCAGTGGTGGTCGACCGAGAACCATGGAAGAAGCGAACGCGCACAACACGACTTCGGACGATAATGGTTTATTACGAAACGTAAACAGTGTTTCGGGTAAACACTGAGATTCGATCGGAATCGTTCGTTCTCTCTCTCACTCCCTCCGTCCGTCCGCCGCTCCCTCGCACACTCACTCGTTCTCTCTCACTCTCACTCCGTCACCGTTTCCCGTCCACCGCCGTGCACGGGTTGCGGACGACGAGAGTTTCACCGACCGCGGTGGGCTGATCGCGGCGAGGTAACGTGACCGAGTGCCGCGTTGGACGGGGCAAGTACCGTAATCCGCGACGCAGTTCGTTGTTGCGCCCGACCACGGCCACGGGGAAACGGGGGTAGCGGTGGGAGCGGTGACGCGACCGGACGACCGTGCGAGAGAGACAGGAAATCGGCATGTACGTATTATTTGTGTGCGCGCGCGCTCGCTCCGCCGTGTGATAAAAAGCGCGCTCTTACAGTGCGGCCACCAGAGGCCACTCTAGCCGCCCACGACTCGCGCCCGTCATGTGCCCGACGGTTGTTATCGCGGATTCGCGGCGAGTCGTCTAACAAGTTGTTGTTGACGATACGTTGACCGCGTCCGCCCGTCCCCGTCGACCGTTTGCAAGTCAAGAGTCTAGACGGGTGGCGCGGCGGTGAGGGACCGAAGGAAAACGCGTTGGGAGAACAGAGAGACGGGCGGACGTTCGTTTGACGCGTTGCACACGGCGGAATCTGCACGAAACGTCCGGTGCGAGTAAAAAAAAAATATAATAATAAAACTATTGTCGTCGCGAAATCGCACGAGATGTTCGGTGCGGGGGCGTTCATCACCGCGCCCCGCGTTTTTGTTTTACGAGACGACTAATGTCTAGGGTACCTGTTGCATTCGCGTATTCTTTAATAACGACTGGAGAAGAAATAATTATTCCGAGTGAAATATATATAAAAAAAAGAAAAGACGGATTGTAATACAAACATTTTTGATTAGATATTTTCGCATAGATAATCGGTTATAGGCAAAACGCGCGTTGAACAGATTTTTGCAGTGGTTGTTTAGAGCACATTTTCTCATTCTTACGTCTTACGTGAAGTGAATTTACTCTATAACGGTAGGGTGACCAGACTTCCTGACGGGATTGTCCTTTTTTTGATCATCGCGTTCCATTGTCCCCACAAACTTCAAATGAGACGCTTTTTCTCCCGTTTTAATCCCGTTATTTCCATATTATTTATTATATCATGTATTATATTGTCAAAACCCTTAGATCGATAATAATTACCAAACAACACTTTAAAAACTTAACTTGTTCACAATTTTATGAATTTCTTTTGAAACAACCGAAATTGTTAAATTCAATAAGTTTAATTAGTAATAATAAAGTAAAATTTAACTTTAATAAATCTAAAACTAATTAATATGTTTTTACATATTTATAAGCTGCGTTTTTGTAATAAAGTATTTTAAATACACATTCAAAAGAGTAAATACATTTTTTGAATTAATATTAACTATTTTTTTTTTTTTGTATATATTTGTTGAAAAAATATGTATATTTAATACATTTTATGGCATATAATTACATAATTTGACATTTTATAATGCATATTCTTATGAAATGTTAAACATTAACAACCGAGATCTAGTGATGAATGACTGATAACTAATACAAAATGTTAAATAAATTAATGAACATTTAAATAAATAAACAAATAGTATATTTATAGAAGTAAATAAATGCTTAGCCTGGAGTAGTATATTTGTAAAATATGACAAATTTCAATACAAGTCGTTAAAATCGCTGTTTTCTGCAATGCGACCAATTCACAATGATTCAGAAGAGATTTACAAATACCTCCGTTTCATACGTAGAAAAAAATGTATCAACATTTATCGATACACTCAAATCGAAGATTTGTGTAAAAAAAAATAGATTTATGACATCAAAATAAAATATACAGTAGATATAAGTTAGATACTTGTTTGTATTACATTATTACCAATACATACGAGTATTTTCCGCCTAACACAAGCAGTAGAATGAAGTGTAAAACTTGAATATTGAGTAAGATAAACGTTAAAATGTCAAGCTCCTATAGATATGATCAAATATTCGCCTATACGTATAGTTATATTTATTTAGGAAATCAATACTACACATATAATGAGAAAATATAATGTATTATTATGATCGAAGCAATAAGCTACACATTTTTTTTTTTTTAATATAACAGTATAACACTATTTTTTTTAAATCAAGCAAACGATATTCTTTATTCATAATCTGAATAATGCTAATAAAAAACATAAATTAAAGTCGCCAATGTACCACTTACCGTCTTTTTGATACGTTTTGTTTGCCAATTTACAATTGACGAAACGTTTCCTTTGTGTTTTTTTGTCCTAGACAATCTTGTTATTTTACCCTTCATTCTGACAGGAAATAAAGAAAATCGTGCGCCCAATTCTAATAATGGTAATACGAAATACTTTATCACCGGTTGGATTGTCGTCCGTGAATGAAATACGTTTCCAAACGAAGGAAAACATTTCAAAAACTATATAACACCCAAGACACTATAAATGTACAAATAATAGCATTTTGCCATACACGATATATCACTATATCTTATAGTTTTATCGCAGATTATATTTAGATTTCATAATTGATCTTTCGCGGAACCACGAATTCGTTGAATGAGTCCGCGACATGCGATAAGCGTAGCTTCCGCACGCGCACGTACAAGACACCTTTTCCGCGTCCGCGCGCATACAGAACATGTTTTATTCGACGAAAAGTATGTACCCTTTGTCAATTCTACCGTCCGATCTAATTATGTGACAATATTTCTGAAAACTGATCTGAATTTGTTATTTATTTTTGAGATCGATCAGTCCCACATTAAGAGATTTCTTATTCAAATCTGAATAATCAACATTTATAGATTTGAAAATTTGAAAATATTCAAATCAAATTTATAATAATTAGGGAGTGAAATTAAGAAATGTCTGATCGATCGCTCTGAAGCAGAAATGAAGCCAAATTCAAATCAGTTTTCAACATTTTTTATCACATGACCAGATCGATTGTTATAGTTGACAAAAGATTGGTATGTTTTAGTTAAAATAACCGAGGGGTTTGCAATCCCTTGTATAAAGAAATATGAGGGTTACAAATATATCTTATCTAGAGACCAATTAAGTCTCGAAGGGTTACCTGAAATATTAAATTAAATTAAATGACTTAGTATATTTTAAATATGCATCGATAACTTTAATGAACGTGGAACGTTAGTTCTCAATTTATAAAAATATGCTGACCAACGATTGCCGTATGTTTAAATTTGATAAAATCAGAAAATGTCTATTTGTACAGTCCAACTTTGCAGGTAGTAATCAAGCAATTATTTTTACATTTTTTATAATATAAACATATGATGTAATAAATGTGATTAAATGTAACAAATCAAAGATATAATTTTTGATCGCTATTACAATAAATGTCCAACAAATTGAATGCTTGAATCCCGAACCCTAAAAATGAGAAATTATTAATAGGTTTTTGATTCTTGGCTAAATCGTTATCGTTTGTAGTTCTCGAATCATAATCTTCTTCGATACGAATACTGTACGACAATATTCTTCCGACCAACGATTGCATAATACATCGTAGGCAATACCGCGTTATGTTGCCACCCAGGAGCAAATTAAAATATGCCACCCTTAGGTACCCTAGGGTGCCGCGGCACCCTGGTTGGGAACCTTTGTAGTAGTGTATACGATTGCAGTACAAGTTCTTAATTCTTATCTCCTTGTAACATTCAAAGGTAGTAGACCGCGGCTCTTTCGTGGTATTTATGAATGAAATAATATGTATTATAGTTATGCGGTTGTACAAGGAAAAAGATAATTATATATTTTTTATTTTATGTTGGTCCTCAAAATTTGTCCCCCGTTAAACGCTGCTCTGAATGTAGATACCATACTTGTTAAATATTTAAATATTTATTATTATATTTTGTACTCATAAATATTAAACACAACATTTTTGAACAAGATTTTTAGTTCGGTTTTTCGAATTTGAAGAAATTACTTATCGTCGACGGGACGAAGTGACGATTATAAATGTGGTTATCGACAAAAAATATTTATAGATATTACGGGGAAAATAATATTTCCCGTGTATCGTAAATCTATTTGGCTATTTATATTTTATAGTGTCGTAGTACGGCGACACCCCGAATCCCAGTATCTAACATACATACTTCGACACTCGTTATTCTTTAATTCTTTGTAATTATTGACCCGTTATTGACATCGCGGTGAGCGCGGTGCTCACCTCGTAAGTATTTTGAAAACCACTTGTCTAATTATTTCTTAATTCCTCTGATACTATTTTTAACCTTCAATCGACACAATTCCAAATGTATTATTGTCAATTTAATAATTTTATAAATAATTCTTGATATGATATCGACATGCAATGTCCGTAAAGTGAGCGTTGTGCTCACCCCATAGGTAACATGGACCCAGATGAATAATAATATTTATTGTTCTATTACAGTGGCGTATTTACGGGGGAAGGGTCTAGGGGTATTGGACCCCCCTCAGAGCCTCTCCAAAAAATAAAAAATAAACTACAATTCTGACATATTTGCAGAATTAGCTACGTTAAACATTCGCAGGGAAATTGAAATTACTGTTGATGAAGTGATAGAGGAGTTGGCCAAAAAATCGAGACAACTGGAATTTATTTTATAACAATACTTTATAATATATAATGCTAAATAAAATATATAGGTATATATATATATATATATATATATATAATATTACATGACTATACGATTATTACATTACATATTTAGTTCAACTTCCTCCAAAAACTGCTTAAGGACGTAACTATTACAATATAATATATAGTTTATATTAATTATGTATAAACTGTAGACCATCCCCAGAAAAAATTGAAAATACGCCACTATTCTATTATATAATATTGCAATGTATTTTAAATAAAAATATCTAACAAAAAGAAAATATTAAAATAAATATTATTTAAAATATTGTATGAAAAAAAGATTTTTTTTTAAATTAATGTAGCATTTAATTTTTATTGTTTGAAACATTTGTAATCAGGAAAAATGTTTATAATTATATTTGTAAAATATTTAAATATAAATAATTTGGTTTTGGTTTCAATCGTATAAGCTTATTTAATAATAAATAATGATAAAAAATAACGAGGTGAGCGTGGCGCTCATTCAACACCAATGGCGGGACGTCATATAACGATATCAACGACGAGTTCAAATTATTCACTACTCACTAGAATTTAATGTAATTTTGTCGTAATGTTTTAAGAATAAAGAATCTGAC